TCATGGTTGTTAGACCAGCAGCACAATGCCGATACACCTCCGTTCTTGTAAAACACAGAAATAAAACAATATAAAATCAAGGAACTTGGTGAAACTCCTTTGCCCTAGATGAGGCAAGAGGGCTTTATTTCTAGACCTCACACTATGACGAACACCAGTTATTCGCTGACGAGCGGCTGGTCATTCTTGATCGCTGAGCCTAAGTGTCCTGTTGCCATGGGGAGTTCCGGAGGAGTCCCTGACGCATGACCGGCTTTTGGTGAGGCTGATAAAGACCACGAAGTGGATGGATTTAATCTTGGTGATAATTCAAAGTGCCCGCTGTCTTTTTGCCAATCCATATTGTGTTTCGCCCGAGTATGGATGCGCGCCGCATGTTATTCGGCTCTAGGGTGTTCAGCAAGTGTTGGCGAATTCAACGAAGGCAGCCTCTATGTTCCGTGCGATATTGATAGGATCGAAGTGAGAGCGGTTTTTTGACCCACGCTGTTGTAGTCTAGCTATTTTTCCTAGAATTCTTATTGATCCCCCTCGCTTGATGGTGGGAGCAGATGCTCTGATTGGCTTCCTTGTGTGCGTTTCATAACCTCGAAGCCTCGCATTCAGCAAAACCTGGCAGTCGTCCCCTCAGCTTTCCGCCCATCAGCAGCTTACACGGTACTTTCCCATCTTTTAATCCTATAATTTAGAAGGCCAATCCATAAATATTCTTTTGTAAACAATGTCTTCTTGAGCAGATGCTTTATTACTTGCAATCCCTTTTCTGCTAGGCCATTTGAATGAGAAAACCACGGACTTGAAATTATGTGCCTGAAGTCACACTTTCTGGTGAAGAAGCGACATTCTTGTGACACAAACTGTGGGCCGCCATCTGTGCATACTAGGAGTGGAATGCCATGGTGCGCAAAGATTAGTCCAAGGTTATCAATTACTTGGCGGCTCGTCATTTGTGAAAGGAGCTGTAATTCAGGGTAGTTGGAGTACGTGTCATATATCGCAAAGTATGTTTTACTGACATGTTGAAAGAGGTCCTACACGGACCCAAGGCAGAGAAGGGGGATGGCTCGTTGGCAACAGCAGTTCATCTGTCTGCTGGTAAGCAAATCGTCAGCACGTTGGACATTTATGTACCATTTTTGTTATTTGCACGCACATGCCGAGCCAGAATATTATCAGTAGCTTTGCCATACCTTTGCATTTCGCTATTTCCAAGTGCCCTTCATGAACACGTTGTAGCATCGCTCTTCTGAGCTTCTTAGGAATTACGACTTTTGATCCTCGAAGGAGTATGCTGCTAACATATGTTAGCTCCTCTTGAAAAGGTGCTAAAGGCCCCATGACTCTGCGGCCACTTTCCAAAGCCTCTATTACTTGCCTTAGGTCGTCGTCTGCCTTGGTCTCTTATGCCAGGCAGTCCATCATCACTAAGCTGACGAGGCTGTTCAGCACTGAGGTCGCATGAATGTGATGTCATCAGCATTATGTTCATTGCTCCTGTTGTCGCTGTCTGCTATCCTGGACAGTGCGTCAGGCTACCTCAAGTCCTTTCTGGGAACAAACTGCAGTAAAATGTCAAACGGCATTAAATGCAAGAAAAAACGCTGTAGGCAACGTGGCATGTCACACAAGTTCTTTTGGGCAACTGGGAGCAAGGGTCGGTGATCTGTTTCGATTGTCGTGTGAAAGCAAATTATGAAATCACGAAATCTTTCACATGCGCATATTATCATACGCACTTATTTTTCTATTTGGGCGTATCTTGACTCGGCGTCTGATAACGACTGCGAAGCGTAGGCAGCTGGACGCCAGTTCTTGCCGTGCAGCTGTAGAAGGGCAGCGCCGAGCACAAAACTACATGAGCCTGCAGTTGCTTTCAATAGTTTAGATGGATCAAAAACCGCCAACATAGGGGCGCAGTTGATAACAGGTCACACAATTCTTTGTATTCTTTATTGTGCGCACTCATCCAGTCAAACAAAGGATTTCATTTTAGCAGTGCGCGCAAGTTCTGAGTCCTCTCTGACAAGTTTGGTATACATCTGTTGAAATAATTTACAGCACCTAGCAGTTACATAATGCCACGTTCCATTCCTCAAGTTTTGTTATCGCCCTAATACACTGCACGATTCTCAGCGCACACCATGCCTGCAGTTTTCGAGAAGCTTCAGGACTGTAGTAGATCATTTCGATAACATCACGCCAACTCCGCGAACTGTACAGATTATTACGGAACCTACGCCGCCGCCAGCGATAACGCTAGAACATTCGATGGCAAGAGTATAAATGCCGAAGCACTTCCCCACTTGTCAGTTGTTGATCGACGGCCGACGCTCTGTTCGCCGCTATCAATCCAAGACTGCTACTGTAGTCCGACTTTCTGATCACTGGGCACAGGTTCGCCCAAATAAACAATTTATTATTCGACTCGCAGTGTGCTCCATTCGTTCCCGTCACGATCCCGTGACAATATATAGTGGCATGTTAGCAACACACTTGACCAGCTGTGCATCTGGTTTGATGCCATCACCCAGAAAGTGCACTTTCTCAACTCTAAAAACGCCTTGAAAACGCCCTGGAGACGCTGTTCCTGCGTTCTGCCCCACACATCATCAATGTAGACGCACATTACTTCTAGTCCATCAAACACGTTATTCACTGCCTTCTAAACCACTTCACTTGCCATTCAAATTCCAAATGGGAGTCTTAGAAAACAGTAGCGTCCATATGGAGTCCCCAATGTGCAAATTTTTTACGACGCTCTGTCAAGAGAAATCTGGTAAAATCTACTGTTAGCATCTAGTTTGCTCAACACTTTGGCTCCCGCCAGCTATAAATCGATTTTACCTTAAGAGGGGAGTTGATTATGGTCCTGTGTTAAGCGATGATTAACATTAGAAGGGTCCATGCAAATGCGCAAACCACCATTTTTATTGAGAACAATGACCAGAGGACTTACCCAGTAAGAGGGCTCCTCTACCTTTTCAATGACGCCGTGCTGTTCTGCGCGTGCAAGCTCAGCCCGCAGTGACTCTAGATGCAGCGTGAAACCCGACATGCTGGCAAAGCAGCTGGCGTCGGCCCTTCTTCGAGGCGTACACTGCAGGTTTTCTCCAAGCATCCCAGACCGAAAAACAGTATTGGAAATTTACTGACGATCCTGGACTGCAGATGCTCTTGAGCCTGCAGGCACTGCGCCCTTGATATCAGACTGAAGCGTACACAAGTGTCCAGTCCCAACAAAGCTTGCTTGCCTTTCTTAAGAACGAAAAAGTTTGTTGGCTCCTCGATTTCACCGATTTCAAGCAGCAAAATGACAACTCCAAAATGCTTGATTATGCTACCGTCATAGCCTGTCAATACCGTTGCTGAAGGTTGAGTTGTCGCTTTCTTGCCAAGCTTGAGAACAATACAGTGGGGAAGAAGATTGGCCTGCACACCTGTGTCCACCTTTAACGTTGCGTTATGGTTAGCTAGCGTCGTGGCGACTAACCATTCCAACCTTCTTAATACATCGTTGACGCTCACATCTAAAACTTGAAAATCGTCATCAAATTCGTCGGTTTGTTCATGTGACGCATTATGATAGTCTATTTGCTGAACACTTTTTCGTGCCATGCAGCAAGCTGCGAAATGATTCTTTTTATGGCAGATGCCGCATGTCTTACCCCATGCTGAGCACATTCTTGAAGGATTTTTTCCCCCACAGTACGGACTTTTTTTTTTTTTTGATGAGCTCTTTGGTCCTTGTTCTTTTTTCCGTACAGTGTTAAGCTGAGCTTTGCTGTGTTCCCAAGCTTGGTTTTGGCTCTCAACAATTTCGGCCGTTTTACAGAACTTGATTGCTTTTTTCAACGTGAGGTTCCGCTCTCGAAAAAGTCGCGCCCTCAATTTGCTATATTTCGTGCCCCACACCACTTGTTCTCGAACCATTGAATTCTTCAGCTCTCAAAAGTTGCAGTACTGCGACTTAAGCTGAACATCCCTCAAAAATTGCTCGAATAGCTCGCCCTCAAGTTGTAGGCTTGTTCTAAAGACGTAGCGTTTATATGTTTCATTTCGTTTAGGACTACAGTATTTTTAAAACTTCTGCACAATAACATCATAGTCTTCGCATTGCTCATTCGACTGTTGAAAGGTTTTAAAAACATTGATTGCTTGCTGACCTGCAACGTGAAGGAAGAATGCCGCTTTTTGGGCCCTTGTCCATTCCGGCGTCATTGTTGTAGCCATGAAATACAGCTCCATTCGTTGGCTAAATTTTGTGTAGTTTTCTGCGGGATCTTCGGAGAGTACCAGATGCTCGGGCGGCGGCAATGCTTCCATGGTGGCCTTTCAGCTGGCGGGACGCTGGGCTTGTACTTATGACACCATGCGTCGACGAGCAGACACAAGAAACCCAGAACGAAAGTAGTTTATTGATGTAACGTCTTTTATATGTAATGCCAGCCTCATGATTGTTAGACAGCAGCAACATGATTCCGATATAGTCAGACCAAGAATGCTGCGTATCCAAATATCAGACATGCAACATCGCACAGCATTCTGTGCACATCAGATCCTCCTTCGGCGGAAACGACAAAGGGCGAAAAGAAACGTTGCAGCAGGAGATACGAAGAAACGTGTACGACGGAGAAACAGACATACAAGTGGCACGAACAGCGTCGGAGAAAAACAGCCACAGAGTGAAGCTATCCGCCAGCATGAGATTCTAGCAGAGCAACAAATTCATGCTGCTTCAAGTTGCAATGTAGTTGCTCGTTTAATAGCTTTATTGCATTTTGAAGTTAATAAACTAGGCATAATAACTACAATTCAGTGAGCAGACGCCATGAATACAGTGAGGAGACGACACGGCACGAATGAATACATGTGCAGGGGCTAAGTGCTCTTGCTATTAGCAGAGGGGCCTGTAGCCTCCACAATGCTAAAGGAAACTTCTGAAACAAAGCATAGGGTTCTTTCTTTTTCTTTTTTTACCACAATAAAAATTTAGAACTCACAAAGGATAGGTCTGACGTAAGTGACAGAAGCTGGCCAGGTGTGCGTCCCTGGACAGGACGTGATGCACGACTTGCCGGAGTCCCAATCAGATCAGCCAGATCAACTGCACATCAATTATACACACAAACTTTTATAAGGTGCACAGCACATGGCATGTTTAAAAATATGCGGGCAAAACTAAAGCAAGATACATGCTCTACCACAATTACCATTTGAATGAACAAAAGATATACTGAGGCCTCATTTTCTTTGCTACACACAACGTAATGAACAAATAATAAAAAATAAAATGACTAATAATGTCTGTAGTTTTACATCCCCAAACCACAATATTATTATGAGAGACACCGTAGTGGAAGGCTCAGGGAATTTCGACCATCTGGTGTTTTTTAAGGTGCACTGACATTGCAAGCTGTATGAGCCTCTGCTATTTCACCTGCACCAAAATTACGACGTCCGTGGTCGGAATCGAACCCCCTGCCTTCCGGTCAGCAGCTGAGAAATTTAACCATGGCTCTACCGCGGCGGACAGCCTATTGAAACGAGCAGACAGTGAAGCCAGGTGACATTATTTGTAGTCTTTGAACAGCAGTGCTGTTGTTTTGACATACTAAAAGCACTTCTTTCACAATCATTTAATTTACCCTTAGAGGCCCTTTTCAAGGTATTACATGGGGGGAACAAAGGCATCAATAACAGCATAATCATTATTATGCAATGCTAGAAAAAGTATAAAAAAAATGTTTGAAAAAATACAAAATAGCTGATTTCACTTTCAAAAGCAAAGCAAAGACAATGCAATAGGCAGGACAAGTGGTATAAATGCCGTTACAAAAATGATAGTACATCTAATAACACTGTAATGGTGGAAGATTATGGGTTGATAAAAGATAAAAGGTTGAGCCTAAATTTACTGGAGTCTTTCTCACTTACTATTTGTTCAGGCAATGTGTTATAGCTCAATAGCTGTAGGTAAAAAGGATTTGATGAATGCTTTAGTGGTACCATGTAAGCATTGAACACTGAGGTTATTAAATAGACGGCGTGAAGTGTGGCTGGGAAAAAGAAAAATAGTGTCTCTGAGGTGAGGGAATCTACAAAACAGTTTGTGGAAAAGAGAAAGTTGTGAAATGTTAAGGTGAAAAGATAGACTAGTTATGCTGAGGGAACATTTGATGGAAGTGATACCAGTGTACCTGTCAAGGTTTGAAGCAATAAAATGTATAGCACGATTAAGTACTACTTTGAGGGAGTCCATAAGACAAGTCTAGTGAGGGTTCTGAATCGCCGAGGCATATTCAAGTTTCGTCCGAATAAATGTTTCATAAGTGAGTTTTCGGACAGAGATTGGGGATGGAAAGAGTGATCGCTTAAGAAGGCCAAGTGATTTGGAGCAGTCTTTTATAAGGTTTGTTATGTGTGCAGTCCATGTGGGTTGATCGGTGATTGTAACTCCAAGGTATCAGTAACAGTCGACTTGTGTGAGCGCCGAAGATTTAAGAGAGTACTGATAATTCAAGGTTCTGTGCTTGTGGGTAACAGGCATGTCTTAGGGCGAGCTGGTACACACGCCACTTAGGTGCAGTTGACTGCGATGCAAAATACTATTCATGAAAAAGGAAGAACCAAAAGAGAAATGGAGTGCCGACCTACCAACTGTTTTGCGAAACTCTGAGAAACATACAGAAAAAAAAGAAAAAAAAAAGATTATCAGTAAAAGCAGGAAACAAGCTGCCAAGGAGTTGTTGGAAGCCTTCCATATAAAAAAATAAAAATAATATCTGGGGTTTTCCATCCCAAAACTAAGATATTATTATGAGAGACACCGCAATGGAGGGCTCCAGAAATTTCAATCATCTGCTGTTCTTTAATGCACACTGACATTGCACAATGCACGGACCTCTACCATTTCGCCTCCGTTGAAATGCAACCACTGTGGCTGGAATTGAATGCATAACTTTTGGGTCAGCAGCCGATCTACATCAGAAAGAAAAGGTCTTAATTGTATCTGTGACATCTATAACTTCATATTCCACAGAAATGCACTTTCTCAATAGCATGTTGTCTCGACCAGGTCACGGCATGTCACATTTTGGCTGTTGTTCCAAGTGCACAACCGACATCAGAGGGTCGTTAAACAGTTGGTAGTTTGATTCTACCCTTTCGTCTTTTATCCTCCACCCATTTTCACAAAATATATCTTGCACCGCAGTCAAGAGTACCTAAGCAAAGTTTTGGCATAAATGCAAGAAAATTAAAGTGGACAGATAGACAACCTGCCAATGGTAGGGACAAATTATACAAGTTTTGGATAACTGCAAAACTGCATGAAAAATCGACAAAAAACAAAGGTACACACACAAGCGCAGACTAGCAACTGAAAGTTTATTGAAGGATACACATTGAAGGATACACCTAGCAAAAAATTATGATGTGAAAGATTACTTTGTGAAACATGGGTGTTGTCCCTGCACAGGAATAGGACAGCGAGAGAAGTTGCAAAGACTTTTTATATGCACAAGTATGGCGACACGTGTGTTGTGAAGCCTTCGGTAACTTTGCACCAACTAGAGATCGATTATCTCACTGCCTGCCTCTAATCTTTGAGGTCATATTTCTTTGCTAGGTATATATGTGTATTCTTCAATAAACTTTCAGTTGCTAGTCTACGCTTGTGTGTGTGCCTTTACTGTTTCTTGTTGATTTTTCGTGCAGTTTTGTAGTTATGAATCACCAACTCACCCAGAGTTCAGTACTCTGAAGCTTTGGATAATGCATTCTATGCTCTACCAGTTGAGCAATGGCAAATGGCTGTCCTCACACCTACTTCATTCGAAATTTATGTGTGCATGTTAAACCTGGAAGTCGAGGGCTAACAAGTGGGTGTGTTGGTACTGCATGATCCACAGTAAAAGGCAAGAGTGTGATCACCAGAATAAATAAAATTGGGTAATAATGGAGGCAGGAAAGGTGGTTGAGGCAGGTGATTCTTGCCTTTAAGGCCAACTCTGGCGATTTTTTTACCATGTCAGCATAATGCTGCCTTTATGTTGCTGTGACACTCTTGTCAAGTGCCCAATAACTGAAATGCTCAACAAATTCAAAACTAATTTTTAATTAGCAAAAACCACAATACCGAAACCGAAACCCAACCAAGTGCGCTTCTACATGTGACGTAATCCTTTGCCCGAACCTGCCTGATTGCGCATATTGCCCACCAGATAGCACTACCTGTCCACGCAGTCCAAGTTTGTGCCTGAGGTTATCGGCTAAAATGCTTATGCTGTAATGATGAATATATGGCGAATCGTTTGCAACTCACAACGCAACAACACTTGCCACTTTATCACACTCCCGCCAACACAGAAAAAAATATCGCATGCTCTACCAACGAAGTGCCGGCCAAACCCACACAGTCCATAGCAGACAAGCAGACACTGCAGTGGCACATCCGTTCAGTCCCTTCCGCCAGGCAAAACTCAGCATCACATGCAAAATGTCGCCATGAATTCTGGCAAGCGAGGTGAGCATTTTGACGCAAGCTATAACGTGCAAATGATTGTACCCAGTGAATTTCATTGAGATCCACTAACCTATAAAAATCGCCGGAGTTGGCCTTCAAGGGGACACGGTAAGCCCTATACCCACCATGTATTTTAGACAAATTTTATGTATTTTTTCCTCCATATTGATAGCAATTGATTGATTTGTGGAGTTTAGCGTCCCAAAACCACCATTTGATTATGAGAGACGCCGTAGTGGAGGGCTCCGGAAATTTTGACCACCTGGGGTTCTGTAACGTGCACCCAAATCTGAGTACACGGGCCTACAACATTTCCGCCCCCATCAGAAATGCAGCCGCCGCAGCCGGGAATTGATAGCAAGTATAGTAATTATTAAAATTATTATCATATGCCATTCCTCTTTTAAATGAAGCAGATATAGCACTGAAAATTGTAACAATAGTTTTTTGTAAGTTTCTTCAGGTACCTAATTATCACTCGGTAATAACTATTAAATGTCGTGTTGCAGAAGAGCACTTCCCCATTCAACAATAATCCTGCTTCAGCATATTTCCCATTAAGCTGCCTAAATACTGCCTGAAATCTGCAACTCTAGATACTGTGGTTGTCGAGATAAAAAAACATAAGTACAAAAAAAATCACATTTATAGTCAGAAGTGTGTATTACTTCAAAAGTTCAATAGGCACTAGTGGGTGCCTATTGCAAGCGCAGAAATGAAGTGCCGACCTACCAGATACTCATCACCAATTTAATTTTTTTTTTCTTTTTGTGTTGAAATGGCTCGCCTGGTGGGCCTCTTTTCTAGCCAGCTGTGCAGCCCTGTCAGCAAAATATTGTCGACGCAAGTGAAGGGTGCGTAGGCCCTGCGTTGTGCAGTGCCCTGGTGAAATTTCAAAGGTGTTAAGCACATTCACACGGGCTATATTGCCATCATTAAAAGTGAGCAAAGCATCAAGAATGCATACTTTCAGTGTTTGGTGTCCGAGGAAAACATGTTTTCAAGTGTGCCCCAACACGAAAATTTATTGACTCGTTAGCGTTTGAGTTTTCTTATAGAGACACTTAGCAAGTAAATCTAGATAAGCTAGTTCTGGATAATTTGGCTTAACAGCCTCAATAATTTGGCTTAACAGCCTCAATAACAGATGCTGAAAGGTGTTTTTTATGAATGACTGGTTCACCATTCGACTGGGCTGCTTTGTTGAATTTACAGCAAGTTGCGGCATCCTTCATGCAAAGGCAAAGATTGATTGGTATGTGAAAATATGAGAACCAGATAGCTTTTTGCATGTTCTCCAAGCTAGCTATATTTCTTTAATAGGCCAAACAATAATAGTCTTGGTGCTTACCAATGATGTCACTACTAAGATGTCCCCAGCCAGATAGGAATTTCCTGACAGAAAGCTTGATGCCTCTGCTTTCTTTCGTTTTCGTAATTCTGGGCCCATTTTCTTTTGAATGTGCTCAATGCATGCAAGCTTGCAAACTGTAACCTCTCCATTTGGCTATGAGCATGAACTGCAAAGAATCCTTTGCTCTGTAAAAATGGGGGCACGGAAGGCCACCTCACAAGTTTTG